CGTAGGAAGGCACAGACAGGAGCCTTCCTACGCCTTCAGGGCATACAAATTTATCCGTACCTCGATGACTGGCTGTTGGTCTCACAGTCCAGAGAAGGACTCTTGGCGGCCATCCATAAGACCTGTGCCTTACTAGATGACCTAGGCCTACGTATTAATACAGAGAAATCTTCTCTTCTTCTGACACAGACGCTCACCATCGGAGCCCGCTTAGATTCGGCGTCGGAGAAAGCTTTCCTCCCGCAAGACAGACAGCAGACTCTTGCTCGCCTTATTCATCGAATCCGATGAGAGGGAACGGTCACGGCGAGGTCTATCCAGAGGGTCCTGGGACATATGGCATCCTCAGTTGCCGTGGTTCCACATGCCAGACTTCGGCTTCGCCCACTACAACTATTTTTCAACAGGGTGTATCACCCTCAAAGAGAGCCACAGTCCTAACTGATTCGGATCCCATCTTCCGTGCTCCACTCTCTGTGCTGGTGGCTGAAACCGACCAATCTTACGATAGGAGTCCCCTTCAGGGCGTGACCTCCTACGATAACCCTCAGCACCAACACGTCTCTCCTAGGATGGGGAGCGATATGCTCTGGCCTATCTACCCAGGGTACGTGGAATCATCTAGAATCCACGAATCATATCAACTTCCTGGAGCTACTGGCAGTCTTCAAGGCCCTTCATTCTTTCGAGGACCTCCTTCATCATCAGATCGTTCAGATAACCTCGGACAATATAGCGACCATCTTTTATCTGAACAAACAAGGAGGGACGAAGTCACCAACTCTAGCCAGACTCTCGATGGAAATTTGGGACTGGTGCATTCAGAGACACATTGCGCTGATGGCTGTTCATGTGGCTGGCATAGACAACGTGCACGCGGACCTTCTCAGCAGGCACATGTTCACCTCTCACGAGTGGAAACTGGACCCTCGTACGCGCAACCACCTTTTCAGGTGCTGGGGGTTCCCCGATGTGGACTTAATCGCTACCCAACAGAACAGGGTGTGCGAGGCTTACTGTTCGAGAGCGGGAATCGGGCATGCATCACTAGGGGACGCATTCATGATCCCTTGGAACAACATGCATTTCTATGCCTTCCCTCCGATCCCTCTTCTGATGAAGGTCATAGTAAAGATCGTGCACGACCGGGCATCGGGGATACTAGTTGCCCCTTGGTGGCCACG